CGAAAACGATAGAAAATCTCATTACTAGCATAATAAGTTTGAATACACTCGAACTAAATCCGAATTAGCCGATAATGGGAGAACCACACGCAGGTGGCCTAAAAATCGACAAAATAAAATTACAAGAAGAAGCAGAGCAGCAACATCGTAAGCTGGACCTCTGCTCTTCTAACTGATACAAACATAATCAATACTAAGAGATGACACCACTGCTCCAAGAACCTAGCATCACCTTCTAAGACAAATTACATCAATAGACCTACTTACCCAAACTATCAAGGAACTCCCTCCAATCTTGTGTGGCCGCCTTGACAATTTGTGGAGCAGGTCGCCTGTCATTCTCAAATAGCCATAAATTCCGTGATTTTCAAAGCCACCATAGTATATAAGTGGACAATTGAATTCTGGCCTCGGAAACCTCTCCTTTTTTTACCTGGCAAATATCCCACCACCAATGCTGAAAAGTGTCCTGTTCCTTTGGCTGCTCCCACCAGACAGGGGCCATCTTCCAAACCTGTTTAGCTAATGGGTAGTGAAAAAACACATGCATAATAGACTCCTCTGCTTCCCCACTTTCTTTGCAAACCACATCAATATCTAAACCTTTTTGCCTCAAGTTCTGTTTCACAGGTAATATGCCATTCCAACACTTCCAAATAAAGTGTTTTATTTTACCCTTCACTTTTAAGTTCCAGCTCCTGCTTCTCACATAGATATCTCTAGTATAGGCTGTGCTAGATTGAGCCTTAGCCATTTTATGAACCTTTTTCTTCAATAAGGTGAGAATACGCAGAAGTCACAGAGAAACTACCTTTCTTATTTAGGCCCCATATCCATCTGTCATTCAAGTCTGGTTTTATGGTTATCCCCTGCAAGATGGCATCACTGTACTCCTTGTAAAATGTTTGCCTAACTTTCAGTTCATCCCAGCAAGTACCTGCTGCATTCATTAGATCTCTAACCCACACCAATGAACAATCTCTATCTGGTCTCAGCTTGACCTCTCTACCCCAATATGAAGGAATCCATTGTTTGTCCAGAATTTTGGTGTCTTTACCATTTCTGATTTGAATCTGCATCCATTTTCCACTGACTTCTAGAATTGCCAGCCATGAGTTCCACAGCCATGAAGAATTCTGTTTTTTCTGAGTCTCAAAAATAGAACAGTTAGGATAATACTTGGATTTTAACACTCTACTAACCAATAAATCTGGCTCAGATAATATTCTCCATAATTGTTTTGACACCAAAGCTTCATTAGAAAGGTGAAAATCTTTAAAGTCCAAACCTCCATGTTTTTTTGGCAAAGTCAGTCTGTCCCAAGCAATCCAGTGCAGCCCCTTTTTCCTGTCAGCCCCTTTGCTCCACCAAAATTGAGCACAAATTCGAGCCAATTCTTTACACAATCCCTTTGGCAACACAAAACAAGACATTGCAAAAACAGGTAAAGCATTAATAATTGCTTTGATGAGGACCTCTTTACCTGCAGTTGATAGATACCTGTTTTTCCAGCTAACCATCCTATTTCTCACCACTGAAATAATATAATTGAAGGCTTCTGACTTGGATCTGCCTATCCCCAATGGAAGGCCTAGATACCTTGTTGATGTGTGAGCTTTGACCTCTTGAAGCAATCTGCAGCAGCTTTCCTGTAGATGTTTAGGAGTATTTTTGCTGAAAAACACAGTTGATTTATCAAAGTTAACATGTTGGCCAGTAAAAGATTTGTAAGCCTGTAATATGGATAGGATCTTGTTGATTTGGAATTCCCCAGCTTTACAGAAAACCAGTGAATCGTCTGCAAATAATAAATGGGTGATCAGGGGCCCTTCCTTTGAAATTCTGATCCCTTTGATGCCACCTCTCTCTGCCTCCATATTCAGTCTAGCAAAAAACAACTCAGCAATTAAATGTTTCAATGTATTCAATTGAAACTTTGTAAGAGTATCAATAAGTCATTCAGTATTAAAGTATAAAAATTTATAAGACTTTTAAAATTAAAAGACTTTTATAATAAAATTACAATACGTCTCAATATAAATCTTATCAAATTGGTGAGATATTGTTATGGAATTATTAGAATATCCACCAAATTCATTAAAATTTTACAAAATTCACCAAAGTTATTCACTTTAAAAAGTGTTATAAAGTTGTTAAAAGTCTGAATTGAATTCACTCCATAATATTAGGAATTTCAAGAATATAAAAATTGTAGTATCCAACAATTATTCCCAAAATCCTACAAGTGCTTTCTTCAAACGTGCTAAGATCCGATCCTTTTCTCCTTTATGTTATCTATCACCTTATATATTATTAATTAATTACTTTGATATGCTTTTATTTAATCCTATCCGAGTTGGATAATGACAGATGAAGCGAATTTCCATTTTGAATGTTGTAACTTTGTTTTCGGTTATGTTGTCCTAACTTAATTAATTAGCTAAAACTCAATACTCTAATGTGGAATTATATTAACTTGTGTTTCCTTATTTCTCTATCTTTTGAAGCAATAAGAAATAAAAAATTAAAAAAAAAAATAACCAATAAAAAAAGAATACTCTGTTACTACATTCATATATAAATAAATGTNTAAGTACTTTTTTCTGAAAAAATAAAAATAAAAATAAGTTCTAGCATGTAGTAGGAATGAATCCGACTGCAGTACTGTACTGTCCGGTTTGATCAATTCTTCATGTGGTCTCTTCAATAATGTAAAAGCTATTGGAGATGGATAGATGAATATATCCAAAAATCTATTAATATATAATGAGGCAATTATATTTATTTGAAATAACAACTAAATATCAACAAAAAAATATTTGGTTTCCCGCCTAAAATATTTACTATATTGAGTAATATTTTTTGCCAAAATTTGAAAATCACGCCTAAATTAATGTACAGAATCATTCTGGTCAAATATTGCCACTATTACCTTTATTAATTGCATGATTTAAATTTGGAATATAATATATTGACAAAACTTGCGGCTAAAGTTGCATGGTTTAAATATGGTATATAATATATTGAAAAAAAAAAGATTATTATTTAAATTTAAAAATAAAAAAAATTATTCATAACTTACGAGTCAATATTAACTTGGACGTAAACGAAATAGTCAATTATTTATAATTTAATAAATTACTCAACTACTTATTCTTTTTTATTTGAATAGTTTATACAATAATAAATTATTTTAAGTAATGAAGCAATATAAATTTGATATTTATACTTATTATTCACATAGGTTGTTAAATATATGATAACATTTTACCAAAATGACTATTTTATGAAATCACATATAGCCAAATCGATTTTCTAAATAAAAATTTTGAAATGATACTTATTTTGAAACGAATATAATGTAATTTATTATCAGTTATGTGCACCGCACGAGTTGTATACTGATTTTAAATATACATTTTTATATAATTTTACACAATTTAAACTTTATATAACATTTTCAATAAATTAATATAGGGAAATTGTATTACATATTGATTCCATATTTTTAATTTATAAATATTATTTGATAAAAATTTTTAATTTATAAATATTAATGAATATATTTTACCCGTGCACTGCACGGGACTCATACTAATATTAAAATATATTGCATGCGACAAATTCAATTTGTATGATTTATTTCGATAAAAAAGTTTTGTGTTAAGCAAGGGGTAAATTTTAATATGTATAACTAAAACCTATGTCCCTAAAACCGCGATTAAAACAAAAAAGGTTGAGTTGTGTCATGTGTGCTTGTGTTTTAGTTTTATATTTAGTCATGATTAGAGAGTTTTATAGTTAGTTGTATGTATAATCTGAAATTGACGAACAGTCTTTGATACAAAATTTGTTTTGTTGGAAGGGGGCAACATATGCCATTTTCTTCTGATTGATTTTCAACTACCAAAAGCATGGGTCATTAATTGATTGAGGGAGTGAATAATAAAATGGGTACATTAGCTGGATTTTATGAGATTTTGTATATAATTGTTGTATATGGCAGCCTTTTTATCACGCTTTTCATTATTGCAAAAAATCTTTGTACCACCTT